GGCAGAAAACATCATTTAGTAAATCTTTCCACTCACCATTGTACACACTTCTAAAAATAATGTAAAAACAATAACGCATTATATTCATAGAAAAGACTTTAAAAATTTCCAAAAAATAAAGAAAACAACAATATGAAGCCTTAGACAATATAATAAGGCTTTTCTGTGGGTTTCTCTTGATGGTATAAGTTACAACATGGTTACCCTACAAATGAGAATTCAGTCAAGGTATGAATCTTTTCCATGCCAAAGCTATGTACAGATGTCAAGATACAATGAGGCAGCCAAACATGGTTACCATTCGTTAACCGTGAACTCACTACCCTTTGGGTTTCCAGTTTTCAAATAACATGTTCACATAGTGTTGATTTCAAGGGTCACACAGTTGAAGGATCCCCTACTATGTTACAACTTAAAATCTAAAGTGAACCCTGTCCCCACCTACATTTCTATACACAACATTTTTAAAATTGAATTAGTCTTCGGTTAACATACACCCTCAAAATTCTCCCAAACTGAATTATCTCTTTCCGACTGGCTTCTCTTCTTTTCCATGACTCTGTTGATGAGCCTTCAGGTTACTTTCTCTGCCAAAGCTTTTTCCACATGTGGGGCAAGTGTGCCGGCCGGCACTGTGTGCCCTTGCCATGTGGGCCTCCAGCTGCTCAGGTCGGTTAAAACTCTCCTCACACTCTCCACAAGCGTGAGGCTTGCGCTGCGTGTGCTTCTCTTTCTTATGTGCTCGAAGCTGCGCTAGGCTGGGGAAAGTGAGGTCACATTCAGTGCAAGGGATCTGCAGAGCTGGCTGAGGAACAGGTTTCTTGTCATCTTTTTCTGCTTTATCATCTTCTGCCTTGGGCTCCTGGGTAGATTTGACTGGGCGTCCTCGTCTTCCTCCTGTCTTCCCTTCAGCTGTGGCTGGTTTTGCAGAAGCATCTTCTGAATAGTTGGTTTCCTCAGGCTCCTCTGCTTCTTCCTCCTTCTTTTGCTTTGCTTTCTTTTCACCAGCTGCACTGGCCTCCATTTTTGGTGGTCTCCCTCGACGTTTGACGGCGGCACTTCCGTTGCAGTGCCGGTCGCCTGCATGGTTCTCCTGATGTTGCAGGAGCTCTGCCTCTTCTTCAAATCCCCTACCACATTTACCACATCGGTAGGTCTTAGTGGAATCCTCTGCATCCTCTCCGTCCATGGGCACGGGGTGCTGGGCCAAACGATGGTTACGCAAAAGTCCAGGGCTTCGAAATGTCTCGTTGCATTCTTTGCAAACAAACTGACGTTCTGGACATACTTGCCGCCGATGTGTTGTTAACTTGTGGAAAGAAAGTGGCACAAGTTGAAATATTAAACATAGGCTTACAATTAGAATCATGGCATGTGTACAATACATAGCTGGCCATGCTCTCAAACACTACGATAACAATGGCATAACGTTTTTAGTAACTGTATATTGCCTATTTTTGGTAATCAATTTCTCAATTAATTAGAACAATACAATTTTATGCAGAACTTAAGATACTTAATACTCAAATCAAGCATTTTCTGTTTAAATTCATTTAAAACTCCTCTTGCCTCTGAGAATGTGCGGAAACATTCTTGGCAATGTGTACATTTGAAGGGCTTGTCCTCCTTGTTGTGGGTCGACTGATGTTGTGTCAGTTCCTCAGAGGAGGGGAAGGTTCGATCGCACACATAGCATGTGAAAAGAGTATCACACTGTTGATGCAAAGACAACAGGTTTGTGAATATACATTGAAGCAATGAATTAAAACAAATATAATTTAATATGTTTGAATTCATCACACAAGTTTTTTTTTAATTAAATGTATTTCATTAAAAATATCCATTCAGCACAATGTTTTTAATTAGACTTAGGTTATTTATTGTTATATATATATATATATATATATATATATAAGTGTGTGTGTGTGTGTATTGTATTAGTTAAACAATAGTTATATGGTGGCATAAATCACATGCAACTCATACTTAAGTATTATCATAGGATCAAACACGCTACAACAGTTCAAACTGTTGCATCCACTATGTTAAAAATAAAAGGGAAGCACAGTGGAAACAGCTCCTTCCTCTGAAAAAGCATCTTTCACCTGGTGGCAAATTCACAGCTTTCAGTCTGCCAAGTCTGTCAAATAAAGCTGACACCACAATAGCTGACAGTTGTTTAAGGAATTTTCTGTCATTTAAAAACATTAACAGATCATTCAAGTAGTTTCAGTCATTTTGACAGAAAAATCATGTATTTGGTACACAGGTAAAGAAACTCTTCAGGATTTTGTTGCAGAAAATGTTGTTGGCAGTTCATAAATGAAGCTCAACAAAATAAGGATGTAATCACCAAACAAATGTAATCAAGTGTAAAAGAGTGAAGCCAGTGGTGTTTTTCAGATTCAGTGAGAATAAGATTTACATAGAGTAAACACTGTTTCTCTTTGCTTTCCTATTTTATTAGTCATTTCACTTGGGTTAATGGAGTGCTTGCACCAACAAAAATATATCCACTCATCTCTAGGGACATCTGCAAGCTTTTGTGAAATTCAGTGGCGTTAGAAGAACGCTTTAACAACAGACACAAAGCAACACATCCTCACTCAATTTTGAGAACTGATACTAGCAAACTAAACTGAGAAACCATTCTAGAGTTTGAAGCAGAAGGTTAATATTTTTTTTGAATATTATGTATATTAATTTTGTTTTGATCAGTTACATTTATTAATTTTAGATGTTTTTATCCAAAGCTGCTTACAAATGAGGAATACCAAAACCAAGAATCATAAGGAGACTATAACACGAGAAATGCTAGCAAACATCATCTAGAACAGTGCTAGTATCTAGTAATAATATTATCTAGAAGTATGACCATATCTACTCAAATCAAACTGTGAATGCTGTAAATGACTGAATCCCAAAAAATCTGAGATATGTGCAATGGTGCTATCAAAGTAATGCTTCAACTAACCTGTTGAAGCTGCTGTTTGTACTCTTCCCGATGACTCTTCTTCATATGCCTTTCCTTGGCTTTTGAGTTGCAGAAAGTAATAAAACATTGGAAACACTGCAGGCTTTCATGCTGGTCTGAATGCAGAGAGAGAGAGAGAGAGAGAGAGAGAGAGAGAATGACAAACTTAAACACCAGTATGGGAGACAATGCTAATTACAAGTTTATAATACAACTATATACCTAGTGTAACAGCAAGGTATAAAATGGGCAAACAGCAGACATTAAAAAAGCATTTAAAAGTATAACTTAAAATAAAAGTAGAAGAAAAAAGGATTTAGGATTTTAGAAATGTGATAAAGTATAGCACAATATTATTAATCCATTAATATATGTATCCTGGGGTATTTCAGTAATCCTGTTTTTTATTATTATTATTAATCTTACTCCCCAAGACTTAAAAAAAAAAAAAAAAAAAAAAGATGAATTTTTCCATCCCAGCTTTTAAAAAATGCAAAAACACCATTCACCATTACACTATTTGAAAACTGGCGTAACACTAGCTTTATGCAACAGGTGCCCATGAGAAACATACATTTAAACCGGGGGTCTATCCATAATTGATTATAGTACGAAATCAAGGATTTTCCTTCACACTCACATGACTGAATGACAGGTGGTGGTGCATGTTCCTGAATGGTGGTGGTGTAGGTATCCTCTGTCTTCTCAGAGGGCAGTTCAGCAGGGGCAGCAGCCTCTCCTCCGGCCATTACTATCTCCTCTATATTCAGTATGTTAGAGTCCATTATGCGGGATTAAGAATTCAATGTACGCCTGCTGTAAATACAAAAGAGACGATAGTCAATCAATCTAGCCTATGTAACGTTATACAAATATGTACGGTATAAACGTATTGCAGTGTGCAAGTAACACAAAAACCCGTCATACATTTACAAAGCGCCACTCAAATTATTAAATAACATAAGGATGCAACTAAACCGTTTCTACATCAGTTCTCAGATATGTTTTCACACTGCTGAATAAGTAACGTTAAAGTCACCTGAGCCACTGAAACACACAACATAGCAGACGTGCTTAGTAACATATATTTCCATACCTTTGTTTCACACACCAAGAACTCAACATCACAGCAGCCTAAAATTTTGGTTCATAATATAAAAATATGGTTTCATTTTAGAAAACAGGGGGTTAGGAGACCAAACGTCTCCAATCGCGTGTTTTAGAGCCGCCTGCCGTTTGTTCGCATTAACTAAGCTATGCTAAGCTAAATAAAGCTAACGGCTAACGAGGCCTACAGGGCCTTAAGCTTCTGGAAACCAAACCAATGCTATGTAGCTAACTAGCTCATTGCCTAATGTGTTGAAATCAGTCCCACTACCGATGCATCGAAACCGCTTTAAAAAAAATAAAAACTTTAGCTGCTTGAACGGAGCTATGCGTTTATATTTGTATTAAGCTGCTGTTACATTAGCCAACTGCTGAGTTCGAGGTTAAACTTGGTGCAGACTAACAACCAAGTTCGCTGGCCAAAAACAAAGCCCAAAAAGAGGGAAATATTTATATTTTAAGTTACTTAAATTTCAGTCTTAAAAATAATTTAGCAGAACTCTTACCTTAAAGAGAATATCCCTTTTGCCTGGAGGGAAAAGGCATAAGCCAGACATACATTTGAAAATAAATGGGACGCAAACGTGTAGTCAGTGACCCGCTGTTAGACTAAAAAAAAAAGCTGCATCACGTGCCAAGGCGTCTGCTGTACTTTCCATTGTGTTCATCCAAAAGCAGAACAGGTATGGAGATGGCCTGTTTGTCATGCAAAATAAGTTCATGGCTTCTAAAATGAGATAACATTGTTAATTGTGTGGCCCTTGTATAAAATAATTGCATATGCAAAGAAACTATTCTATAATTGAACTGGTTAGATATAAATGCATAAAAGTGTTCATCACAACACTGAGATCATACTATAAAATGTAAAAGCTTTTATTTCATACAAATACATTGAAGATGCCTTTACAAAGCACAATGAGCTGGAATCAAACATAACATTCTAAAATTAACTTTTCCTTTTAGGAAATAGAAACCAAACAATGCATGGGACACGTTCTAATGTTTGCTAGGTTTAAAATACAATAACATTTCAGTATCAACATAAAAAGAAAATATAACAATCACAATATAACATTCATTATACATCCAAATGGGCTTATTTGAGTATTTGCACAAGTACAAAACCTGGACAAAAATAGATATGGATGGTTCAGGATTTGTTTTGAGTCAAGATGAGCAATAACTTAATGATTAACCATCTTATTTAAGTAAATGAGTAAAAGTTTAAGTTAAAATGGGCACAGTCTGTATGCCTCATGAAGACCCCTGACTGTGAAACTTCAGGAAGCAGTTGTGGTTTCGAGAAATGCACAGGAACACACAGCATTTAAGACACCGCACACGTGATGTCCTCTCACAGCCCCCGAATCGACACCTCCTGGCCTCCTCCCCCTCTGCCAGCTGCTCTGGCCAGTGTCCAAAGCCATCATACCGTGTATGTTCATCAGGCAAAGGGGTCTCAAGAACCTGAGAAGGTCTCGAGTTTGTATCTGGACTGTGTAGTTTTGAAGCAGGAGGGCAGGGAGGTGATGAGTCTTGTGCGTCAACACCACTGGAGAGAATCAATGCTTTGGCCACCTCCAAACGAAATGCCATAAGTGATAACAGATCTGTAATATGACTGTAATCTTGCTTGTACTGTATCCATGCATTTACTAAAACCAGATCGATCAAGTCCCAGAGAACAGACTGCGGCCAAGCACTGACTGCCGAGTTTGTGCAGGGTGTGCGATAAAGACTTCTCAAGTCACGGTTAAGATTTGCAGCCTTAATTGCTCGCTCGAAGCCACTGACAAGAGATGTTGAACGAGGTTTTTCCTTTACCACTGCCGAAAGGATAAAGCCATGATGACATCTGAAAAGCTTGAGTTTTCCATCCGAGCTCACAAACTCATCACCTATTTGCCCTCTTGCCCCACCAACCTTGCCAGCGCTTTGCACACCAGCCGCTAAAAGATGCTCTAGCATAGAAGGTGTAGAAAGCTCTGGTTTGCAAAGAAACACCATCCCTTCGTTTCTCTCCTTACCTCTAGAGACCATTTTCTCAACTACATCTTCTCTATTGGAGTCATCTACACTCAAGATGAAGTCCACAACCAACCCTCCACCATTTATGACAACTGTGTGAAGTAATGAATGGGTTGGGCGTCTTTGAAAAGGAAGGGGGTACTGGTCGACCCCATAGTTTCCATGTCGCTTCAGTGCCCGACAACAGTCTTGAACTCTTCTTATCAACGGCATTACCTTCCACAAAGGATCTGTCTTTAAGTTTGTGCAATTATGTGCCTCATTACTGTGAGCTTCATTACTCTGTTCTGGCTGGTCTCTATTCCTTTCTTCAGACTGCTGATCGCTACTCGTCCCCGCAGAAGCTCCACCAGAACTGGCCAGCTTCACTTTACGAGTAAGCTCACAGAATTTTGAAGCCGACATGGTATCAGAGATCAGAGGTACTCGTGTGCAATCTTCCCAGTAGAGCTTTGTGCTTGGAAACTTTGTGGTAAAAAAAAAAATGACAAAGAGAGACAACAATAAGATGGAGACAATATCATCTTAAAACATACCAATGATTAGACTAAAATCAATACATTGTATATTTTAAACATGACAAAATAAATGACATTTTTAATGCAATTAATTTTTTCAACATAACCTCATATTTATTATTCTATGTTTTGCACACTTTTTAAACCTTGCACTGATGTTTAACCCAAGAAAACAAAATGAGCAAAAAATAACAAAAATGTCATAAAAATGGTGCAAGTTTTTTTTTGTGACTTTTTCACTTGACAAATTCACATAATGGTAATAAAAACATGCAAACCAATATAAAGTCGAACAAAATCATATTATTTAATAAACAGTTATAGAATTATGCATTTTCTTGACTATTTCAAATCTTTTTCCAATACTAAAATGTCAAGGACAATGTTTGTCACCATCTTTTGGGAGTGACCCATTTTTCAAATGTTGTCATGTACTAACCTTCAGAGTTCCCATTGCAATGTGGATTCCCACATACTGTGCAACCTCTTTTTCTGTAACAAGGTTCGGCAGTTTTGATGTTTCCCTTGTGCAAACAGCAATTTCATTCCACGTGTCCAAACTAAAATACTGATTGAAGTAGTTAATGGGCTTCCAGTTGAGCTGCCTCTCTGGTTCTGTGTGCCTTGTTGGAGAGGCACCCACGTTTCTAAAGAACAGAGAAAAAATGGCTGTTAAAGACTGCTGAGTAACAGTAATTTGGCACACCTAGTATTTTATGTTATGCCAACAATACTCACGTTCTGCCACTTGGACTACATCTCTCTACACCATTTTGATGTACTGTACCATTACTCTGTATTCCATGGTAACAGGACATCACAATGGTTTCAGCTTCTGGTTCAGAGTGGACATTATCGGCATCATCCGTGTCTGAATTCTCCGAAAGGAATTCTAAAAAGCCTCGAGTTCTCTGCTGTTCAGCACTAACATCACCTACAAATACAATAAAGCACATTCTTAAACTAAGCTCACGGGACAGACTACACCTTAAAGCCTTAAACTACCTATTCTTTTATTTACCCTCTTCAGATGTTGTGTATAGATGTTGCATGTCCATTTGTACCGAACCCACCCTGACTTCCTCACATTCTTCAATTCCAGATGAAGTCCCTACAGGTGTTATAGTTTAGAAGTTATAGGTGGGACAGATTACTGATGACATACAAAAACACACATATGTATTCAATATTGCAATTAACTAATAAAAAAAAAAAATTTACTCATTTTTTTCTTATATATATATCTTATAAAATCCAGCATTGTCTCTCACCTGCAAGTTCCCCCGAATTCAAAAATGTCTGATCCGCTTGAGAAGGCTCCATTAAATGTTCCCTCTCTTCCTCCTTAACAGGATAAAATATACATTGCTTGCTGAAGGACTGCAGGGGTACTACATGAGAGTCCGAGGAGGTGCCATCTCTGTTCGTATAATTGGTCTTATCTAAAAGAGGAATAAAACAAATGAAAAAAAGACACACAAACGTATTTTTTCCACAAATTTGGAAAAATAAATATATCAATAAATAAAAAATACGTTTTAATAACAACATTTTTGCAGAAAGGGTACACCAGAAAACTTTTTGTAAAATGTATTTTCTTGATACTGCTGTATTAACACAAATAAATAGACATAAATAAATGAATCAATGGTAATAAAAAGCATTTCTATAAATAAAAAATTATTTTGCAGACAAGCGGCACCAACTATTGTATTAGAATTAAACTATTCTGTACTTAGATTCTGAACTATTCTGTATTAGAACAGAAACTAACATTTATTCAGTTAAATAATTTGGTTAAAACTGACCTTGACATGTAACGCGTTGATGATCCACAGGCTGGAGTGCCTGAAACATCTCATTTGTAGTCAAGTGGTCTTCCGCTTTGACAAAAAACATTTGTACTCCACGCATTGCACCACTCTCAGAAGAAATCAGACTGTGGTGAGCCAGATTTGAAGAACGTTCTTCTATTTTCACGTCAGCTGATGTGTTAGCTGAAGTCACTTTACTGGTATCCAACGAGGAGTTTGCCTTTAATGAGAACATTAGGTAAATGTGATACATAATACATTACTTGACACAATAAATACTCGATACTCTCTAAAAGGTTTAAAAGATTTTTTAAAAGTCAATACTCAAATGCTAAAGGACAACATCTGAAGAGTCTGGAAAACATGCAAAACACTACCCTAATCCGACTTTGGGTGTTTGGATTTTCCATATTTCTCTCCCGAGCAGTCAAGAATTTTTCCAGTATGATTCCAGGTGAGCTGCCGTCTCGAACCAGCTCTCTAGATTCTTCAAACGAACTGTCTCCAGAGTTTACAATATCCATTACACTTGTGGTAACAGAATCCAACTCAAAAACAACCTGTTCCTCAGGAGCCTCCTCAGAAGACAATGGTTGACAAGTTTCAGAGGCATTAACTCCATTCTTGTCCTTTTCTTTGTTCTTTCCCTCCAGAGTATCAAGTATACACAGATGATAGAGAACGTGGCATTCTTGTGGATCCTTATTTCCTTCAATGTCCTTTTTACTTCTGTTTTCTGTGCTAGTTCTTCTTCCAAGCGGTCTCTTGCTACGGCTTTTTCCAACTCCTTTCTTACCTCTTGTTGCAGAATTTTCTCCCATCACTCTTTTATGATCATCAACTCTACGTACAAGTACCTCCTCTTCTTCTTGCTTTATCTCTGGTTCAGTAAGAACATTTTGAGTCAATATTACACTGGCATCTTTTGCAGACTCGTGAGCCTGAGAACCTAGATTGCGCACTTCATTTTTAAGCTCTTGAGAGTCACCTGAAACATTATTTATCTGAGTGTTATGGTTCTCTTCCACATTTTTTTCACCAACCATGACTAAATTAACATCTGAAGGAAGTTCTTCTTTAATTTCTTCCTCCGCTGCATCTTTGAGTTCAGCGCAAGATGTTTCTGTGATAGACCTGACCCCATTACTCTGTGCTTTTTCTGACCCATTCTCACTAGTATTTTTTGTGTGCTCCTGGGTCACAATACTTTTGCCTAAGGCTAGGGTTGAAGCCTGGGAGGGAATCTCGCAAACTTCTAAAGGATTTTGCTCAGGAGGCTGCTCAAGTCCAGAAACAATTCCTTCAAAATCTTTGACTCCTCCTTGTTCCTTTCCTTCAACACCACCAGAAGCAAGTGTCAAAGAAGGAGACGGACTTAACGCTGGGAATGACAGTCTTTCTCCCACAATCTCCCCCACCTCAGTCTCCATGTCCCAATCTGTTGCAACCTGAATTTCAAAGACATTAGGTAAAATGCATTTTTCATTAGGACCAGGTCTTATGACTCGTTTTTTAGCAACATCAAATGTCTCATCTGGGAAGGCCACCTTTCCAGCTGAGTGCCAGGATGCCATGTGTTCCTGTAAAGCAGACACTTCTGAGAACATCTTTCCACAGTCCTGGCACCCAAGAGTAAGTTGAGAATACGGGGGGCTCAAGGCAATTTCCTGGTCTATCTTTGTAGGAGCTTTGCGTTTCCGTACAATTTTGGGCTTTGTAGACACAGAACCAGGGCTGTTCTCAACAGAGGGCATTTCAAATAAAAGGGGCTCTCCCTGATACTCCAACAAATTATTTTCACCTGATTTTGTTTTCTTTTGGTGTGCTATATTCAAGGATTTGATCGGTGCACTTTTTGTTTTTTTCAGTACCTTATCACACTTGCTTGGGGGTGATTTCTCGAGTTCAGTAGCATCCAACTTATGCACCTTCAGCTGAGGCTGCTTGTGGCCTTTTAATAAGAGCAAAGCTTGTTTCTCTATGTGAGCCAGGTCTGTAACATCATGGCTAGATTTACCCTGTGTAACTTTATGCTTGGGTAATTTGTGGTTATTCTTCTTCCTAACCTTGGGTTTCTTGGGACATTTCTCTTCAGATTTTTTTCCCTGCTTCTTTTTCTTTCGTACAGGTACCAGTGCTTCATCTTGGTGAGCCTCCTGGACAGAGTTTGCCTTCTTGTCCAAATTGTTTTGATTCTTCATTTTTCTCTTCTGGGGTTTCACTTGTTGTGTTGCTTCTGGTTCTGCCAAAACAGTGTCTGATGAATTAGTGAGAGTTGTCTTCACTTCTGCTTCTGAAGGACTTTCAACCTCCTTTCCTTTTTGATCTTTTTGGTTTAAATTCAGTTTATTGTCATGCTGAGACAATATAGGAACTTTGTCTTGATCACTAATTTGCTGGTTCTGGTTTTGTTTGGTTTTTGATGTTTTTATTACCTTCGGTTTAGAGGATTTTTTCTTCTCACTTGGTCCAAATTTGACAACAAGCTTTTTGTTCTTTGCCTTTTCTCTTTTTTTAGTCATTACTTTTGATGAAGTATTAACTTTCTTGGTTGATGCTACCTGACAATCACATACTGTACTTGCTTCCTTAGTCTCTATTTTGTCAGCCAATTGTTTCTTAGATCTTTTTTTCTTTGTTGGAAGTTTCTTCTGAACAAAAGGGAAATCCTGTAAGCTGGCTCTAGTCTGGTCTTGTGTAAGCACAGAGCTTTGTTGAAGGTCAATTACGTTGTCATTCTGCACACTGTTGAGAGAATCAGGCTGAGATTGTGGTTCCATTGGCAAGGATGGTTCTTTCTCTGATTTAGCTTGGTCCTTTTGAGCTTGGATTTCCTGAAGTTCTTGAGGTTCACTTAATTTGACTATATCACCCTGTTCAATTACCACCAGTGACTCAGATTCCACTGACAATTCTGTTGAATCTAGCATTTGTGCAGGACATGGCATCTCTACATTGGTAACCGTTTCCTCTAATGCTACTGTGTCAACTGGCACATTGTCCTCCTCCACATGATGAGACTTTGCAGTTTCTGGTTGAGGAATTAAAGGTAGTTCATTGTTTGTTTCCAACGCTGTAATGCCTTGTGTGAATGGAATATGTTCCTCTGCTATTTGTGCCATCTCATTAACAGAATCATTCTGTGGTGCTTCAACCTGTAAAGGTGTTTGATCCAGCAAAACAGAAGTTTCAGTCTGTATCGGTATAAGTTCAAGGTGAATTTCATCCATTTGCGTTTGGACTTCTGTTTGTGTCAGTTCAACAGCTGTTAATTGGGTCTCTGAGTTTTCTGATGAACTAATTTTTTCCTCTTGTGACAGAACCTTTTGTTGCATATCTCCAATTTCTGCTGGCAACTGAAGGTTAATTTGCTCTGTTTTTGACGAGTCTGTGTCAGATTTCTCACATTGTGTTGGCTGAATGGCTGATTGAGTAAAATTCACATGCAATGGTTGCATTAATGGCTGTGGATGGGGTGACCCAAAGCTTTGTGGCTGCAAAGGCAATATAACCAACTGATTCACTTTCTGCACATTTCCAAGTTTCTCAATTAGCCTTTTAATTTGCTCAGGATCCAGCTTATCCATTTGATGTGGTGCTGGTCCGACAGTTTCCATGATCAGAGTCTGTGGTTGTCCATTTGCGGGCTGTGTCAGAGCAGGTCCAGGTGCTTTTAGTTGTGGCACCATCACAGTGCTACTTTGTGACTCTTGAGAGTGTTTATTTCTGATGTGAAGAAGTTGTGCTTTAGAAGTCTTGAAGACTGCAGCACACTGTGAGCATGGGAATTTCCGCTCATTTTTTCCTGCAGAAAAATAAAAAGTATAAAGAAATCAGATGGTCAGCACAGCAACATTTACATCTGCAATGACACTGAATTGTTAAAGAGGATCCATTTTCATCCTTCTAATCATATTTGATCTTTAAAGTGAGTGATGAAAGCACAGTATAATATAAGGATGCACAATTTATTGGTACCATATTGGTTATCAGCAGATATTAGAATTTAAGTTATTGGTATAGTATATATCAGCAGATATTGGATATGAGATTATCTTTGATGTCTTTTTAGTGTTTTAAGGTTTTGGTCATTTACCTTTATCCCTCTTTTTCTTTGTGGTGGTTGAAGCATTTGTCTGGTTATCTTCTTTCTGATGTTTTTCTAAGTGGTGCTGAAGAGACTTGGATGCAGAAAACTTTCTACCACATTGTTTGTACATGCAAACAAAAGGCTTTTCCTCTGTGTGTACCCGTTGGTGGTATCTGAGCAAAGTAAAGGTTTTGAAAGGCTTGCCACACTCTGAGCAGGTGTATCCATGTTTGCTGAAGTGACATTTTTTTTTGTGACTTGTTAGTTCACAGGATCGGTAGAAGGCTTCACTACAAAACGGGCACTTAAACCGCTCGTTACCCGTGTGTGTGCGTTGATGGGCCATAAGCTCTGTGGAGGTGGTGAAATGCTGATCACAAACATAGCAAGTAAAGAGAGCATCTCCCAGCATGCATTGCTGATATTCTGCAGGGTGGCTCATTTTAAGGTGCCGTTCTTTGCTTTTGGAGTCACTGAAGATGATGTGACATTCTATGCACTGCAGTGAGAGCTGGTATGCTAGAAGTTGGTATTAAAAACAAAACAATGCATATTAGAAAAGTGAGTCATATCAAATAAAAAAAAGAGCAAGTTATGACAATTTTATTAAAAATTTATAAAAAAATTAAATGCATGAATGAATCGTTCAAAATAAGACCAGTAATATGCATTAAGAAAATAATATCAATTTCAGTTTCATGCCGACATTTGTAAATATATGAGGGCCGTAACAATATTTCATCTAGGCTATGGGGAAACACACATAAGAGTCAAACAACTTACAGGTGAGAGGTATTACTTTGGCCATGTCAAGTTTCAAAGGGTTAAATTTGTCCTTCTTTGGAGGGATGTTCTTTCTGTCGGCATCGTCTACTGTACTTCCAGTTGATGATTTAATATTGGCACAAGTTTTTGGTGTTTCATTTGAGCTTATGGGCTCTACAGGCATACAACTTGCAGCCATACAGTCTGATGAGCTTGTTTCATTGGATGCATGCTCACATCCCACTTCTGTCACAGTATTCGAACTCGACTCAGCCAGACTTGTCTGATTTTTGCAGTGAAAGCCTTCAAAGTTGGCAGTTTCATCTGAACACCCCTCTTTAACGGCTTCAGGTTGTGTGCTGTCCTCTTCTGTTGCTGCAGGAAGTGCACAATGCTCCACTGTTTCCTCTACAGGGGTAACAGGCTCTATTATTGGTGGTGCCGGGACATAGAGGCCCAGCTTCAACTCAAGGCCACTGTTTCGTTCTGTGCCCTCTGTAGCCTCTATTCCATGTACAATACTATCTAATGGTGCTTCCACAGGAGACAGGCGGTCTGAAAGTGAAAGCTGCTCATTGTGCAGATTTGCTTCAGGAGCAGATGGTTCACAGAGTGGGTCATTAGCAAGTTCCATGCTGTTCAACTTTTGATGTGTTAAATTGAATTCAGATCTCTAAAGCTCTGCTAAAATAGACAAAAAGTATGCAAGTTAATTGAGAAAAATAAGAGGAACACACTAAAAACATAAATACACATCCAATGTCACAATGCACCATACAGTTTTGAACAAAAAAAAAATGCTAAAATTTACCACTGTATAATTGTATAACTCTGGATTCTTTAGACATGTTAGCATGTAAAGATCAATAATTAGCATGGTGGAAGAAGTGAGCCTATAAAGCCCAGTCATATCTAAGTTTCTTAAGGATATCTGAGCAGCCTTCCAATAAAGTGGGCCTTACACAAACACTCTTATGTTTTGACACAGACTGACAAAATTAAACTGATTTATGTAATTGGCAACATGACAAGATCACAAGAAGGCTTTTCCGAATGGCGGCTTTAAAGACACAGGAACTAAAACAAAGCATTTCAGGCAGGGGGTATGTTAGAGCATTTCAGTTAGAGTATGAGAAAATAATGTGAAATAAATAAATATTTTTTTTTTAACTTTAAATCATGTATGCCTAAATGTATTCTAGAAGACCCCAAAAATAAACTTTAACTTGTAAATGAGCATAATATGGACACTTTAAACCTACTTGTTTGTTTGTTTTTTTATAAAGGAATGCTACATTTTAATGTAAATCCTTCAAATTTTATGAAATAAATGCATTTTGATTCTTTGATACTTAATCAGGCTAACTATTTAAAAAGTGGATTACAGTTATAGTACTTATAGGCACATAAATTTTACAGACATACTGCCACAGATACTTTTCAAATTTTGCTCCGCTAACAAAGATAATTCTGAACAAAGCTAAAGCATAATCTAAGCGTTGCATCTCCGAGCAAAATACAGTTGTGGTGTTTTCTTCCTAAATAAATCAGTGTTTATGAACGAATTGATTCAATGACTCACTCAAAAAATGGTTCCTCTATCAATGTAACCAACAGAAAGAGTTGTAATCCCCACCACTAATGCACAGACTAACAGCCTGTCTGGAACACACACAACACATACAATACCTACATATGGAGTGACACAAACAGTGAAAAGTGCTGTTGGATTATACCAGCAATCTCAGTGCTCAATGAAACTGCAACTAACGGTCTTATAATTAGAACTGTTAGATAAAATAATTGTGTAAATGCAACCAATGCGATGAAACACTCATGTAACAAATTAATGTAGTAGTCGTCTTGGTAAGGTGTACAATACAAAGAAACCAGTACAAGTGGCTATTGATGTGATAAATCTGCCGTCTATGAATGTACATCATCATCACTAGGTTTTGAGACACAGCCCACTTCGCAGGTCCATTCAAATCATTTGAGCGACGAAGGAAAGAGAAGCCGAGATAAAAACGACTACAAGAATATGTCTGTTTACTCTCACTCGTGCAGTGGTAGATCCTTCTACGTTTCGCCAACAAGAGGGTGTGCTGTTCTAACCCATTGTGTGCAAAACTGCCTGTTATGGCGATTGTCTGTGCGCGGTTGTGTGCACAGCCATATAGATGTGACTGCATAGCAATGCATTAACTAATATGAGCCCCAAACTCACCGAATTTCTTTTTTCGTCCTCTTCGCGTCTTTTCTACTCAACATTTCCTTTATAAACCATTGATTTTGCCATTATCTGATGGGCTTCTTCTTCTTCTTCCTTGATGTTTAACGGCGGTTGGCATCTAACTTCAATGGTGCATTACCGCCACCTACTGTACTGGAGTGTGAACCGGAGCTAGACAGAGATAAACTAGCCTGTAACTAGAAGGGACTTCCAACTCTCTTCTCCCCCCTCCCCTTTAATTATTAATAATAATGATTTCTAAAACTGTATTCTATATCCTATTTGCTATACCAGTGTCCTTTAGGAAGCTAAATATATGAGTATGAATATCATTTGAAGTTTTCCCCAGAAGTTCCTTAAGTGAATTCCCTTGCACCGCCAAATTCCTTATGTTTTCTTTCATCTTTATCCTTTCTCTCTCATATTTTTGGCATTCAAGTACCACATGTTCAACAGATTCAATACTTTCACAAAATTCACATCTTCCTGATATATGCTTACCTAAGATATGTAAGCACTTATTTAACCCACAATGTCTAGTCCTTAACCTGAAAATGATTTCTTCCCTTCGATTCCTCCCAGTGATCTTCCCTGTCCCAACCTTCTGTTGTATTCTGTATAAATGTCTCCCTTTCTCCTCTCTATCCCAACTACTCTGCCACTTTTTCATAATTTCCATCCAAATTTTTGTTTTAGCTTCTGCTTTACTTATTGAGATTGATATTTCAACATATTCTCTTTTACTGGCTTGTTTTGCCAAACCATATACTATTTAATTTCCTTTAACCCCCACATGTGCTGGCACCCATGTAAATTTTACCTTCACTCCCAACTGAGAAATCCTTGTGTAACATTCTAGTACCTCATATATTATGTCTTGTCTTGATTGTGACTTAAATGATTGCAAACTCTTTAGGACTGCACTAGAGTCTGAGCAAATTATAACTTTATCTGGTCTTGTTTCTTCTACCCACTGTAGAGCCAACCCGATACCTATCAACTCCACTGTAAATACAGATACTTGATCAGTCTCTTCTGCACCTTAATTCCCATTTTTGGTATTCCGAATGCAGCCCCCGTTTGCCCAGATTGAGGATCTTTAGACCCATCTGTGTATGGGTTTAGACCCATCTACCTTTTTAAATGTCCAGATACCCATTAAACTCCTCATTCAGATTATTACAAAACACTTCACATAAATCCACCTCCCCTCTACTCTTTAAGTGACTATTTAATATCTGCAGGTCCACTATAGGTTCCCAAAACAAACAAGGTGGTCTGACTGGCCATGGAACTGTTGGACCAAATTCCATACCCTCCAAACCCAAGTCTTTTCCAATAGCACCACATACCCATCCAAAACTCTGACTTTTAACCCTTTCATGCTCCCAGCATACCTGCATTACTACTCTAGTGGGGTGGGACCTACCATGTCCTTGTAGGTTTGCCCAATAGTTAGCTGCCAACTGTTCCCTCCTTAAATGTAAAGGCATCTCACCCATCTCTACTTGCAACGCCACTGCAGGTGATGTCCGAAAAGCCCCACTGCATATCCTAAGTGCTTGGGTTTGTATTACTTCCAATTTAGCCAGTGTAGTTCTTGCTGCATCTCTATATGCTATACAACCATAATCTATAACAGACTTAATCAGTGCAACATATATCTCCCTCAATGATCGCCTGCTCGCCCCCCCAGCCCACTCCTGTCAGACACCTCATCACATTTAATACTTTTTTACACTTTACAATAACTTTCTCTATGTGACCTGCCCATGTTAACCTAGCATGGTTAAAAAATACATTCGGCTCCCATACTGTATATCTTCCTGATATATGCTTACCTAAGATATGTAAGCACTTATTTAACCCACAATGTCTAGTCCTTAACCTGAAAATGATTTCTTCCCTTCGATTCCTCCCAGTGATCTTCCCTGTCCCAACCTTCTGTTGTATTCTGTATAAATGTCTCCCTTTCTCCTCTCTATCCCAACTACTCTGCCACTTTTTCATAATTTCCATCCAAATTTGAGTTTTAGCTTCTGCTTTACTTATTGATATTGACATTTCAACATATTCTCTTTTACTGGCTTGTTTTGCCAAACCATATACTATTTAATTTCCTTTAACCCCCACATGTGCTGGCACCCATGTAAATTTTACCTTCACTCCCAACTGAGAAATCCTTGTGTAACATTCTAGTACCTCATATACTATGTCTTGTCTTGATTGTGACTTAAATGATTGCAAACTCTTTAGGACTGCACTAGAGTCTGAGCAAATTATAACTTTATCTGGTCTTGTTTCTTCTACCCACTGTAGAGCCAACCCGATACCTATCAACTCCACTGTAAATACAGATACTTGATCAGTCTCTTCTGCACCTTAATTCCCATTTTTGGTATTCCGAATGCAGCCCCCGTTTGCCCAGATTGAGGATCTTTAGACCCATCTGTGTAAATATCCAGATACCCATTAAAATCCTCATTCAGATGAGTACAAATCACTTCACATAAATCCACATCCCCTCTACTCTTTAAGTTACTATTTAATATCTGCAGGTCCACTATAGGTTCCACAAACAACCAAGGTGGTCTGACTGGCCATGGAACTGTTGGACTAAATTCCATACCCTCCAAACCCAAGTCTTTTCCAATAGCACCACATACCCATCCAAAACTCTGACTTTTAACCCTTTCATGCTCCTAGCATACCTGCATTACTACTCTAGTGGGGTGGGACCTACCATGTCCTTGTAGGTTTGCCTAATAGTTCGCTGCCAACTGTTCCCTCATTAAATGTAAAGGCATCTCACCCATCTCTAATTGCAATGCCACTGCAGGTGATGTCCGAAAAGCCCCACTACATATCCTAAGTGCTTGGGTTTGTATTACTTCCAATTTAGCCAGTGTAGTTCTTGCTGCATCTCTATATGCTATACAACCATAATCTATAACAGACTTAATCAGTGCAACATATATCTCCCTCAATGATCGCCTGCTCGCCCCCCCAGCCCACTCCTGTCAGACACCTCATCACATTTAATACTTTTTTACACTTTACAATAACTTTCTCTATGTGACCTGCCCATGTTAACCTAGCATCAAAAACCATTCCCAAAAACCTAAAGTACTCTACTTTCTCCAGAACATGTCCATATAATTTAAGATTAATCTCTTCCCCTACCTTTTTCCTTGTAAAGAAAACTACTTGAGTTTTTTCCTTTGAAAACCTAAAACCCCACCTCACTGACCATCGTTCTACCTGTTCTATTGCTTCCTGGACCTTACTTAATGTATATTTTATGTTCCCCTCTTCCACAAGGCCCCGTCATCTGCAAACAGCGATCTTCTAATCCCAGGCCCTACATCTGAAAATACATAATTTATCATGATGATTGTTAGAAAACACTCTCTGTCTTGAGAATGTTCCAAATATGCCTCACCCCTCCTTTCTTTCCCTCTCCCTTTCACTCTCCCTCCTCTATCTGTTCTCTCTCTCTTGTATGGTGTTTTAATGTCTCTTACTCACATTCGAGCTATGCATGCGCAAATGTATACATTAGCTTTTCTTATTCAAATGTCTAAATAAGGACATGATAGCTAGGAATGAGGTTTGTGATGAAACCATGAAGATAGTTTAGCATCCTTCGCAAAAGTCTATTCCTAATATGTCCATGTTTTTCTGTTCATATGGCCATTTTATATAAACACATATTCTTGGCCAAAGATCCTATATGTATGTCATCTATATCCTCATTGGTTAAAGGGTTGAAACTCCCCTCGACATATGCCTATATAATATCTTTGTATCTATGAATAAAGTTGAAGTATTGAGAATACATATGAATGTGTGTTTTCTTACTTCCTGGCCGTTATATCCACTTTGAGGGATTGAGAATATCTGAGGTGGCAAAGAGAATCTAGAGGGACCGTTGTTAATGATTTCTAACAATGATAAAGAGCAGTGGACTGATAACACTACCCTGAGGGGTTCCATTTTCTACCATATAACTACCAGATAATTCTTTCCCAATTCTCACCTGAATAGAGCGTCTATCTGATGGGCTTTACGCTAGATCGTCTTCTTCTTCTTCTTCTTCTCTCGAGTTTTTTTTTTTTGCGGATTGGCAAGCCAACGTTAAAGGTGCATGTCCGCCACCTACTGGTCTGGAGTATGAAACGTACACGGTTCAGCTATGAATTATTCAACTCAGACTGTGTGCAATCTTCTTCTTCTTCTTCTCTCAAGTTTTTTGGCGGATTGGCAAACCAACGTTAAAGGTGCATGTCCGCCACCTACTGATCTGGAGTGTGAAACGTACACGGTTGAGCTATGAATTATTCGACTATTATAGATAAAAGAAAATAATAATAATAATAAAATAAATACAAAATTCCAAACTTCAAACTCTTTCCATTAATCTTGTCTTTTTTAAATACTTAAACAATTCTCCATATATTCTTGCTTGCATTACCCCATAACCTAATAGTGTCTTTAGGGATATACTATTAATTCCCATCAGTTCCAGTTCTTGGAACATCTGATGTCTTTCCCTTTCATACGCTATACATATTAAAAGAACATGCTCAACGATATTGAATTTAGGTATATATATTGCAGCTGCTGTTCTTCCAGTCTCTGGGTCTTTTTCACGCGAGATCGCCATATCACAACACTTGAGATGCAGGTTGTGTGACAGTCATGCACAAACTGAGATTCTATGTGGAAGTTGTAGTTCACACTTCACAGAAATAGTTGTAGTCCTTGAAATAAATACTAGTGATTTCAGGGATCTCACCTCAAAGGTAGGGCGAAATGTAGACGTAAGCTGATATTTATCCAAGATATTTCTTGGATATCAGAGCATTATATAGGACATAACATTGAGGTCACATAAGTGGGCCATTCTACAGAATTGGTGCAAACTGTCCCACAACCAAAAACACATTTAAAAAGCATTTAAGTAATAAAATCATAGATGTTTACTAAGATCCTTCTATTATCTATTGAAACACACAATAATATTTACAATATCAGTAAGCTTAATATTTATTAAATCATCATTTATTGGGTACTTTCAATTGGGAGGTGGCTGTCCCTAACCC